GCGTGGTCGTACATCTTCCATCTTCATGACTGTCTGCTGCCTCTTTTGCACGTCTGTCAAGGTCAAAGTCGCTCATTCAAGGCAACACCAGCCATGTTGCAACAGGTATCTGGTCTCGTATTATTCCAATCTCGGCGTACTATGTGAATACTAGCTTTGTATGGAGCCTAAAGCTCATAAAGTCTGACCAAATGACCGACATAGTGTTGTTGGAATGTTGTTGTTCCAGATGGATATTGGGCTGATGATGCTATTTGTATTCTCCGGAGTCTTTTGAGCTACCGGCTTGCTGAAAATCGAATTACTTTATTAATCAATGGCCATGCAACTTTACCTTGTGGCCTGGGCTGTGAGCCTCTGGATTCGCTCCCAGGTGTGAATGGTAGTGTATCTACAATTGACTTTGCAGAACTGGCGCCGTTGTGATATGGCTTCTTCACAATGGTGAAACTTAGCAGTATATTTTTATCCGAAGCGTCTTTTATATACTGTGTCCCTTGCAACTGTTCTTCATGTCGTCTCATATTTTAGGGCTTCCTGTGAAGAATGTCCTCAAACCAGTCATATATGACTTGATTATGCTGCTTCAACGCGCCAATGCCTGAATGCGTCCCAATAGAATCCTTGTTCTTAAACTGGTGCAAAGTAGCCCACTTGCCAATCGCTTGGGCCAACTGCTGCGGTTGGCCCTTGAAGAAGATGTCACCTTCGGCATCGCCAATCAAAACGGGTGTTCTAATCTGGTGAGCCACCTTCGCAAGCGAGAATTTCTGTACCCTGGTGACAAATTCGAATGGCGAAGTCGTGTTGAACGCCCACATGCCTTGCTCGAGACCCCAGCGCAGGCGTGTGCGTACGCCTGGCTTCAGATACTGCTGAGCGAGCTGGTCGAATTTCGCCTTGTCACCCGAGTCGTAGATTTGCATGGCATCGGGGCCAAAGTCGTGGCGGATAACGGCGCCAAAGTCCCATACACCGTCCAGGGCCATGATTGCGGCGAAGCGATGATCGAAGGCGGCCGCGCGCGGGGCCATGTAACCTCCTAGAGATAGGCCGTAAAGAGCGACGGCTGTCGGGTCGACCGACTTGGTCATGTTGAGGACATGGTCCAAGATGGGGGTGACGACTTTTTCCCACTCTGGGATGAAGCCCTTGTTTTGGTAACGACGTGGCGACGGCTGTCCAGGACCTTCATAGGTGAGGACATTGTAGCCTCGTTCGAGCGCAGCGACACCAGCGACGTGGTACATTTCCTCTTGAGATCCATCATAGCCGTTGCCCATGATGATGGTTGGCCGTTGCTTTACCTCATGGTCTGGCGTGATCCAGATACAGGGAATGTCGAACTCCGGAGTCTTGATGGTGAGTCTTGCGCCAGGCGGCGAGAGCAGTGCGAGGCCCTGATCAAACGCTTCCGTCTGTTTGGCCCAATAGTCCATAATTCGAGGGTCCGCCGGATTGCCATGGAGATAGAAATCAGCACTCCGAAAGTACGTGGCGGCACTGAAGAATGCAGTTCGCGCAGAAATGGGAAACTTGGTTTTGGCGATGCTCAACCCTCGCTTATAGACTGTGTTTGCAATGCTGAGAAATGACGTTGCGAAGCTCTCAAAGTCACCAGGTACAATTGAATTAGCGGCCCCGAGACACTCGTCAATATCTGAGCCGTCAAAGGGCGCCATCGCAAGAGCGCGAAGAATCCCAAAATGGAAATCGGAGTCCTTGCTGAGCTGATACATGGTTGCATTGGGGTCCGCCATTGTGGATGAGATGATTCGGATGCAGCCGATCTGATGATTGAGGAAAGCTGTCTTTGCGACAACGGAACCGATTATCTCAATAGGCATGTGCCAAAGTCTTACAGCGTCTTGTTACGATGGAGGCCTCCATAGCCTTCTTATACTTTGACCCGCCGGCAACCTGTTGTAAACCAACACGACTATATGCGCCCAAGTTCTTTGATAATGCGATAAAATGCCACAAGGTGGGGGAAGAGATCGGTGTTCCCTCGTGTGGCGGAATTTGTTTGTGATAGAGCCGAAGAGACGAACAACAAATAGGTGCAAACCGTCTCACGCTCGAAGAGGAATGGCCAAGGCACAAACATCCTGGAACCAACAACGAAGTTGACATTGTTACCTCGAATCGGGACCAGTGTTAAACGAAAAACGATGCATCATGCTTGCAGTGGCGTCTGTCAATGCGGGGGAAAGCAAAAGTCCAAAGTCGACCTTGACTTTGTCCCTCGCGCTTAATTCCCGTTCGGTTGCCGGTTGTCCCTCCTAGTTGTGCCGATGATCCTTCGAGGTGCATCATCTGGTGGCGGTTGGCAGAAATTGGCACAGCCGGTCAGGCTGTCGTGGACGTGGCGTTGTGTTTGCATACTTGGGTGTCCATGGCTTCCTTCTTGAAAAAGGTCGTTTATGCAGGTCACAAACCCGAGATGAATTCTCCATCAACACATTGGACGCTATCATTTCCCCACGATGCCTTGGAGCTGGTTTGAGGCCGCCCAGAACGAAAGCGAGGGATCCTGTGTTGTCGTCTTCGGCTCCGGCAGTTGGAGTTCCATGGTTGCCCGACGAGCATTCGTATCAAGCTACTTTTCCCTGCGCCTGTGCCGCCGACAAACGATGCCTGGTGAGGATGGAAATTGCATTTTCGCGAGTATCCTTTGTATATGTGGCCCTGTGAGCTTCTGTAGCTGCGTCTTCGACCACGTTGCGCCTGGTGCCACTAGCGTCGACCGGTATTTGGGAGCACCAGACTGGAGGCAAACGTAGTCATTCTTCGCCTCGGGGAATGCAACCAAGCTTCACGGAGGTATGAGAGCTTCAAGACAACTACAAGAGACGGCAGGGATGCTCTGTTGACAGGAGCCGTCGCAGATGTATCGGACCATGATAAGTATTGAAGGAATTTTGGAGCAACTGGAGTGGTGGTTGCCACTGGTTTGGGAGTGATGGCTATTCCAGGTTAGACAAGAAAGGAGGCGGAGACGAGCGGGAGACGAAGTTGACAACTCCATAGCTCTTTCCCACTGCGAGGAACCCTGTGGGGTTAATGTCACTATTGGCAATTTGACTCAGAGTGACTGAATTCAGCGCTTGAGATCTGGTGTTTTCGGCATGCGTTACAAGCTGACACTGTGCAATATGACTTTGGCCCATGCGCCCAGCCAATACTCAAGTGCTGTCTGGTGCTGGTGCCAGTGCCAGGTGTATCCCGTGCTACCAACTTTAGAACCAATCAATTGCTGGCCCAGCCGAACATTGGCCGAACGCCAGCACTTGCACAGTGTGCCTGTACAGTGCCAACTTCTCTCCATGTCTCCTTTTCGCACTTGCAGCAGCGTCGCCAGATGACATGAACCCCGTTTTGAGCTGCTGCAACCCCAGCACTTCAGAGTTCCACCAATTAACGGCCAAGCCATTGCATTTCAACGATGCCATAGGAGAGCAATCGGTACATTGTGAACGGGATCGGTTCATCCAACGAGTACGCAATCGCGAGGCTGAACCTATCCAACTCGCCTCATCTAGCTGTAACAAGACTTCTCCCTTTATTTTGTCCGGGGAAGCTACAATTTCATCATTTTTATCCAATTTTCAGACCTTCAGAAATGCGTCTTACACATTCCTTTACGGCATTGCCTCATATATTGCCCGGGCCGCAAGGTCCGAAGTGAGGTGGCTACAATGCTGTAGGTGCCCGTTCCACTTGGATACCAAACTGGATAAAAGCAAGTTGCTAATGGCATCCAACTGCCTCGCAGAAAACACAGCCATACCTGTTCTGAAAGCTCTGGCTTATAGCACAGATGATAATTACGGACTATTCTCAACGTATATATCATCCTCGATTATTCTGACGGCAGAAGCTCAGACGACTGGAATTCTCTTCTATCGGTAGACTGGAGCAGACCCCAAACGGATTCGAACTCCGTCAAAAGACAGCCTCAATGGAAATGAATATGCAGCAATTAGAGTGTTTAGTTCATTTACCATTCAGAATACCTACTACAGCCAACATCGGTGTTTGCGGTCGGCCAATTCCTACGCAAATATGCTCCTGGACATTGGCTGTAATATATTCTTTAAAAGCCGATAAGCCGTTGAGATTAGCATGGGTCAAGATGCTACTTATTACCATTAGCTCTTTTATGCGTTTCAAGCAAAGAGATTACTGTGGTGATGGATGCAACGGGCTCTCCGGGGAAACAGTCGGCGCTGTTGACCTTACTTGGTCACATTTCTAATGTTCCCCGTGCTCGCCCAAACGCCAGCATTATCGCTTTTGGTGCAGCCATCTCAATTGTACTAACCTGGCTATAGAGAAGATCTTGCCTAACACCAACCCCCAAGTGCTCTGATCTCGGCCTCGAGCTGAGCTTGCTCATGCTTCAGCCTCTGAATGGCCATGTCGAGTGCATCTAATTCATCTTGGAGCCGGAACGACGAACCCCTTGCTACCTTATTCCGTTTGAACTTGGGCGCTTTTGATGACGACGACATCCCTTGATCGGTCTATGATGGCATTCGTTCTTTGATGCTTCGCATGCCCCAGGGATTGAATCTTAGCCTTCATGGGTTCTTTCTGGTTATTCGTCCTCTCGTGATAGAAACTACATCTGGCGTAGCACACAACGGTGTGTATCTGATCTGAGTGAACAAAGGATAGCAGTACAAACTATAACGCCACTAACGTGCATTAGCCAACCAGATTATGGGATTTGTCGACATTTCGTCCAAACCGGCAAGTCCATCGCCAAGTTCTGGGCCTAGCCTCTCTTTAAAGATACTCTGAAGCGACTGTAGAGTGTTTGTCGCCCGCTTTTTACTCTCAGAGTTCCGAAATTACTTCCTGGCGCGATTTTACAGCTTCAGTTCTTTATAAGGACCCAGTTTCCGTTCCAAAATCAGCCATACATCATCAATTTAAAGATTCATCGCTAAAACATGCCTTCATACGTACAATTACGGGCCGTACCGATATTATTGTCACCAAGCTATCGTCTCTGAAAAGTCGCTCCACTCCCCATCCATACCATTAGGTCGAAATCGAAATCGAACCTTCACAAATTTTCCACTGCTTTGGGGATAAATATCTACCGAGTGAATACGGCACCATTCTGGCACAACTGCTGGATCGGTTGGCTGCGGCTCTTCCAAACACGCCTCCTCCAACTGCATCAGGCGCTCTGCTATTTTGGCATAGGTCATTGCATCCCATGAACCCCCAAGGCTAGGTGTTATCTGTAGCAGTTCAATTGCTCGTCGGCGAATGAGCGAGCTTCTGCATTTTAAGGCAGTGATATATAAGGAGTGTATGATGGCCCTGTCGAGAGCAAATTCTACGTGTTGCCGTGGACTGCCCCCGTCTGAGATGGGGCTCACGGGAAGCGGGCTGAGTATTTCGGACGCGCTGTCTACTATAGCGAGGAAATCACAGGTGAATTGGTCGTATATTGCTTCCTCAGTGTACAATGACGTGGCCACGAGAATGATGCCCGTGAGGCATTTGACTCGTAGGTGGGCTTCTCCGGCGGGGGATAGCCAGTCTCCGTTGGAGCCGGGCGTGAGGTATTGTTTTCGGAATTGATGTAGTTTATCTTCCAGCAACTTGGCTTCTAACAGAAGGTCGAGTGGGATCGATCCCGGGACTCGATAGCGGTAGTCGTCTGCTTTAAGTCGGAGAAAGGTGAACACTGAGCCTATTAGACCCGCAAGCTCGCTCTCTGGGTCTCTAGAGACTTTTTTGAGACTGAAATCCGCCAATTCTGTGATATTTAGAGCCATTAGGGGCGATCGCATGCCAAGAAAGACGGAGACCTGCAGGTCAAGCCTGGTGAAAGCCAGAACCAAATCTTGATCAACTAAGAATAAGTCAGTATCTGAATATACATTACAACGCCCCTCAACACTTCTAAGGGGCAGCTACATACTCGAGTCGGCATTGGAGTTAAGAATTTGAAGGCTATGGTCCAAATGACAGAGAGCCATCTCGGGATTTCTCATGAGAAGCTCAAAGCAGATGCACACAATCGTACACAACAAGATGACATTGATGGATCGTCCGTCGCCGTTCGGAATCATGTTCTGCATTTTGTGTATACACGTGCGATAATTAAGAATAGCAAGCTGCACGTCTTCCGAGACCTCTGTCGCTTTTGGATCCCACACCGTCATCGCCCTCTTAGCCTCGTCGTAGGCATCACACAACACGGTGAAAGCGATGACGGCTTTTAAAAACGCCGGTTCTTCATAGGCAGCCTGCAGCATGAGGCCCTTTAAGGATGGCCGGCCTACGTCTTCCATAATACAATAGACGAGGCGGTGTCGAAAGGCTTCCATGCACTGTTGCTCTTCGTGGTCGAGGCTGCTGATTCTCGAGGGTTGGAAGTGAGAAAGCGTCAAGGGCTGGATGAAGGTGAAGCTGTTGGGCTCTTTCATAACGGGCTGACCGACGCCATCACACTCGCGGCCGGTTCGTTTACAGTTATTACAGGTCGGCCATGTTTCGTCACAACGGACCTTGCGGATCCTTGAACCAAAGCCACGGTTATTAGTACAGGTTTCTTGCGATTCATCAAGAAGGGCTGGATTCGTTATAAAATAACACGAAACAGCACAACTCACTTGCACGTTCTGCATCCAAATTTGGTCTTGGTATAACGGCGCCGCTGTCCTGTCGCGCGTTTTGGTTCGGCATTTGTTCTGACATTTGCTGGCTTCACCATTGTCGATATGAGTTTACCATGGGGCAAGTCAACCGCAGTGCATGCCTAAATCAGGGAGCCCGCCATGCAATGAGACGGAACTGGGGCGTGGCGAGTTTCTTATCCTTCTTTCCCAGAGGTTCTCGAATGTCACTCCAAGTACAAATCCTGTGTGCCCGGGTCTGCCACCGCACAGGAAAATAAGGTTCCATGGGGGCATGCATACCTGTCCGTCGGCCGAGAAAACGGTGATAAACTCTTTTTGAACGAGCACTGCCAAATCCATCCCACCAGTAGTCACAGGCCGCCGGCCACCCTCATGCCTCCTCTCCTATACGTATGTATTACATACAGGAGGAACGGAGGTAAATGCGGGAGTCGTCAACAGGCCGGGAATTGCGCCACCACCACACCGTCCAGACCGGCAGGCATCTGTGGTTCTCGAGACGCCAATGGGCCGCTTCGAAGCCAGCATATGTGCCTTTTTGGCCGCAGCATAGTCCCTGGTATGTCCATAAAGTTTCCACTTAATCAAGGCATCCCCCGAAAGTTCCGTCCTCAGTTCCGCTGTCACATTCGGAATGGCTCCTCCACGTTTTGTGAGGTCGTTCCAAGCGAAGCGGCTGAATTCAGCCCAGCAGGACGCCTACCATCGTCGAATCCATGCCGTTACAACACATGGCGGCGCGTGGGCATTTGCGCCCATGGTTGGCTGGATTCTTGACCTGCCTGCATCTGTTGTGGCACGCGCACCAAAGGTATGCTTCGAGTCAGCGAAGCAGAGAAGGACAAGACGGCCCGTTCGGCGTTGCTGGGTTGCTACCCAAGCGGGAATAGCCTCATGTCAATATTGAGCCTTCTGTCGACACACTCGTTGCAACGTGTCGAGCTGATGTTGCCTCTTGCTGTTGTGCCTTGGTGGCATCACCGAGATCATCTCTGGGGACATGGGCAAATAGCATGGCGTTATAATTTCCCCAGCATTTGGCCATGCCCAATAGTTCAAGCAGCCATACCAAGGCGAACCAGAGCGCGAGATGTACATAAGCACCCATTTTCAAGCATGACCTCAAACCCTCGACTACGCTCCTGCAGCCACATCGTCAATGCTGCCCATGGGGGCCGCCCAATACGTTTACAGCACCCGATGAGCTGCGTTTTCGCTACTCCGTAGTCTTAGTCTTCTTCCTCGTGGCCACCGGGGGGTGGGCACTCTTTGCTGGTGAGAACCACCAAGAAGCGTCTGCGTGGCCATCGAAAGTGGGCGCAATGGTAACACAGCAGTACCAAGACTCCAAGAGAGGCCCTGATCATCCGGCCCCCCCTTTCAAGCAAATCCATTCAGACCCTTTGAACCCTTTCGAAGGAATATCGAGCCCCCTCCCGGTGTGACCGGCTGTGTTTGCCGATGGCGGCGATGCAAGATGGCCGACGAGCAGCTAAATATAACCAATGCGGTATGCGTACTTTGCGCACGTTGGCATGAACAAAATGACCTGTCTCCTTTGACGTTCCTTCGTCGCCTGCAGGATTTGCCGGCGGTCAAACGACCTGACCGCAGCGCTGACTTTGTGCTCAGATGGCCCTTCAACGACCAGCCCTCCACGTTTCCCCTTCCATGCTCCCACATGGCCATTTTCAAAAGCTGTTCAGGTGTCATTTCTCCGTGCCATGCGGAGTAATTTGCAGCTGCATGAAGGATTGTGCCGCTTTCACGGAGTCCGGAGTACATGGCAGGGTACTGTACCACAAACAGCCTGGGTTTCGTCCAGCCTTTGGCTCACTCGCGGACCTCTCGCATCCAAGTTGCCCAGCTGATATACCAGCAAGGTCAACGGCAAGAATAGCACAGCATGCTCGTCGTTCTCGTGCACCGGTCGTAGTCGACCGAAACAAGGCTGCGTCTAGCAGAGCCGCGCGGGGAGCCGAGTCAAGCACTTGTGATTCTGCCCCTTGGACAACCAACTCTGTCCAGGTTATGCTTTACCTATTCTATTTCAACTTTATTGACGAGACATGAAGACCTTGTGTTATTTACAAAATAATATGGAGAGCAATTGTCCGTCCAAGAAAGGAATTAGGGAATACCTAGTCACACGTGCGGTAGCTCTGTGAATCCAACCACGTCCTCCGTTTACACCGCCCGGAAAGAAGCCAACGACAACTCCAGTCTATTCACTTGGCTGTTTCCGCCAAAGAGCCGGGCTCTGTTCGCCTCGGTCTAACAGCTCGCTGTCGTTAACTGCCGAGCGCAGCTCCACAACAAAGCAACTCGGCCAGCTCCAACTACACACGTCGTCATAAACCTCCAGGTTCACTTCGTCCATCACGCGGCTCCCAGTCAAATAGATCCGTAAATTCATTGCCCTCGGGAACCTGCAGGGCACAATGGCCATGTTCACTGATAAACTTGATTCACCTGCACGCGCGCTTCCACCCCAAAAAAATTCTTCCGCAGCTCTGCCTGATTGTTTTTCGCCCAATGTTCTCAACTGCTCAACACGGCTACCCTTCTGCACGTTGAGTTTTTTTTTTTTGTAACCAACATTTGCCATCCGTCTCTCAAGGTCGTCGAATATCGTAATTATTTGTTCCGAATCATTGAATCAAATACAACGCTCAGAGCTTGATATCGCCATCCTTGAAACTAGTTGCTTGGCATGAGTCTCCAGCACCGTGATGCAGGCGACTCTGTTCGTCACATCTCAGAATCATCCGGTGCGTGTCGCCAATTTTCCAAAGAAGAAGAATAGCAACGATACCATCTTTACTTAAACTCATTAGCGTTGGATCGAATTGTCCCTCCTTCGAATCAGCTGCCAGGACGGCGGCCCAGCTGGCTCACTACTACTATCCAAGTTCAACCCAGTCAGAATGAGCAACCTCGTCAGCATCCCGGCCTTCAAGGTAACCATTTTCGCGGAAGACTAGCCTCCGCCATCAACAGCCAGACATTGCAGACGTCTTTGAATAACACCTCGAATTGCCCTTCCACTTTGACCACTCAGGTTGCTGGGTTTCGCCTTCCATCGCAGTACGATGGCACGCGAAGGGTTTCTGGAAGTGGCATTTGGCCTCTGACGCCTATAATTGAGCATCCCAGTCTCGCTTCTTGTTCTGTGATGCCCTCACACCATGGGTCTACTAATGCTTTCGTGGCCTCACATCCCTATACACCAGCTTCTTCTGATGCAAGGATGGAAGAGTTGTCCCATCAACTCCAGCTCCAGAAAGTCAAAGCCCCGGCCATGATTGGCAACACTTTCGTCTCAAATTTGATTCAGCAATCGACTACAGTCGGGCGCAGTACCGAGGGTGTTCTATCTGCAGTCACTGTTGGGACCCCTAGAGTTGCTGCAAACAAGGATGGTGTTCCAACCGGCAAACGTAACCACGAAGGTGCCAAGGGTTGTATTCTCAGCGGCAGCTATGCGCCCACCAACCCCGGTAGCCCTGCTCATGCTTACGCCCACGCTGGGCTCCCTCGTCCTGTTGGTCGTATAGGCTCTGCTGGGCTCCATGGCTCTGCCACACCCCGTGGGTATCACGAGTTGTATAATCCAAACGGCGCGGCCATGGCTACTAGGTCTGGCGGGTACATGAGTCCTACTCAGGTTGAGCCCAAAGAACTCGGTACTCCCACCAGTCCACCCGAGTGTGCCAGTCCAAGCGACTTTAGTCATTCGAAAGACGCCAATATTGCTGCTGGAGATCGATGCCTTCCTCCTGGATCTCGCGGGCATTCGGCTCCTGCTCGTCCTCCCACCCACTCTGTTGGTATCCCTGGTGTCTATCGACCTAGTGATACCAGAGGTCCGTTTGGGCGTGTCCAGAATCCCTCCATGTATCCCACCCCTGACACCTTCCAGGATGCCAATCATCAGGGGAAATCCATAGCAGTAAGATGGGAAACAATACCTATCAGTAGAAAATGCAGCACGCACTAACAGTTCCGGATAGGTCAACACCAGAGGAACCCCGGCCAACCAGCAGTGTAACTCCCAGCCCAGCCTCGCCACAACAAATGCTCTAGCCCCGGGCACACAAGCCACCGGCTTCGTGCCCATGTTGGCCGTCACCCGTCCCGACATGACCGGCCGAGACGTCACGCCCATGCCGCTCGGGAGCCAGGCCGTCATCGACTTGAAGTTCTCCCCCCACTACCGCGGCATGCACACCGAGGCCAACGCCAGCGCAGATCACCTCCCGCCGGACCAGAACTGCTCCCTCTGGATCACCCAGCTGCCCGCGGACGTCAAGGTCGCCGAGCTCCTGGGCAAGATCCGCAACGTCGGCCGCGTGTACGCGACCGTGCTCAGCCCCCCGGACGGAAGCAAGCATCCCAAATCCGCCGCCAAGCTCGTCTTCTTCACGCCGGCCGGGGCGCAGAAGCTGCTCGCCCACGGGGAGGGCCACCCCGTCGTTATTCGCGGGCACAGGGCGCAAATCATGCCCAATAGGACCAAGTGCGGTTCGCAGAGCACCGAGAGGGGCGAGTCGCGCGTCTTGATCATCACGGGACACAGGCGATTTGTAAACGAGGCCAGCCTGACGGCGTATTTCGAGGGCAGGTTCACGTTTCAGATTGACAAGGTGCAGACGCTGGTCGAGTTTCAGGACCGGGCTGTGGTCGAGTATCAGTTTGGTAGCTACCGCTGCCAGTCGCAGATGGGCCTCAAGGCGTTGCTGCTGGATCGTCCGAGGGGCCTGGAGATGGTGGAATTCGGTGCCGACCCCTGCGAGGTCGGCAGCGACACGACCTCGTTTACGGTTGCTGGGGAGAGGATCCAGGGGAAAGGGCTGTTTCCTGACCTGGAGCTGGAGTGAAGGGGGAGATATGGTGAACGCGCAAATGAGAATAACTCGGTCTAGATGGAGGCAGTGATTGGGTTGCAGGATGGAACTAGTGATGCTTCTTGTTGGCACGCCCGAATGCCGGTTTGTATTGGTATTGCAAGTACTTGTTGCGAGTTGGACAATGGGGATTCGAGGACCAAGGCGAATGAAGACAGCTGCTGTTCGGAGCTAGATGGTGCAGAAGAGCAAGAGGCATCGACCGACTTACTCTTCATATGGGAGTTGGGGCGAAAGAAGAAAAAGTCTTGTAAGCGTATTCAACGGGCCATGTAGCGATAGATTCAACGGTAGAACACGCCGGTAGGTTTGTCGGCTTTTAATGAAATAAAGGTGCGAAGCTTAATCCTCCACGCCCTTCCAGAACGACCTGAGGTCCTCCTGTCGCGACTTGGTCTCGCAGCCAGTCTCCTCCTCGATGCGCTGCAACACGTCGAGAATGGCCTTGTGCTCGGCCGGGTGGCGGATGCACCGACCGGCCACCCATAACGGCTGCACGGCATTCATCCACGCCCCGTGGTGCTCATTGGAGATGCTAACGGCGCAGATTTGGCGAGCATGCCAAAGAGCAGTGTGGGCTTTGGGCAGCGTCACCTCGGTAGGTTGATGTTGGAGCATGAGGACCGACGCAGTGTGGTAGAGCTGAGTGGCCGATGTGGCGGCAGGATTGGAGAAGATGACAGTTGGAAACGGGGTGTTTGTGGTGGTGGATGGCATCGACATGACGGGTAGAAACGGCGCCGGACGTCTCTCTTGCCAGTCGCACAGGTGCTTCCAGAGCCGGAGCCAGCGAGTGCAGAACGTCGAGTCGCGGCGGTTGGTGGTTTGGGATGAGAGGAGATTTAGGACGCGGGCTGTGAGATGGACGGCGTAGTTTGCCCAGCCGGTACAGTTTGTGGGTTGATACAGTCGCACGTCGTCGTCGTCGGTATTTGACTTGGACCAAGTTGATACGGCCAGGGTCGGGGCGGAGAGGAGGGCGCCGCAGACGTCCGTTCTTGCGAGGCACCAGAACAAGGCTTGGTCGACGCCCCCGACGAAGCCGTTGATCCCGACTGCCCCCATGAAGCTGGCGCATCCGTCGAGATGCCGGTGCCATGATTCGGGGGAGCAGCTAAGCGTCTCTAGGACGCTGAGGATGACGCATGAAGCTACGGCGGCTGTTGAGCGGGACGCCAATTCTGGAAGCAAGAGACGTACG